ACCACATTACAAGTTAGGATGAAACAAATAAGCAAAGAAATGGGAAATGTTAAGGATGTAGAGAGTGATAAGGATAAACATCCTCCCAAAAATGGGAGATCTGCTCATATAAATAACCTTTAAATATAAACAAAACAAAATAATTTATATTGAGACCATGCTCTGGCACTAACGACAAATGTAAATGATACAAGTGTCTTTGATGCTACAGTGATACAACTGTATTAACAAAGTATCTCACGGAAACAAAAAGTGGACTAGTTAACATCTGACAACACTACTTATATTTACATGACTTAACACAAAGAATACACATCAAGAATATAACAAAAATTCTGCTTGTGTCCCTTGATGGCTACAGTAGCACATATGTACAGAAGGAAGATACTTAAGTAAGCTAGATGCATATCCCTGAATCTTCAATACTTTCTTAAATTTATGATAAACCATCACAAAAATAAAATATTTATCATACAAATAACTGAACTATTAAGAAATTACTTTATAAAAGGACTTTCTGCTGTCACTCACACAGACTAGTTTATTCAGAGCAGAAGCTTTATATGAGTTTGCCAAATTGAATCATTTTTAATATAAAATTTCCTCTTGAGCAAAAAGGAGAGTAGTATAAAACTTCATTCAATTGACATTATCAAGTGCTGCGGTAAAGAGTATTAAGTATTCCACTAGAGAGTTGGTTTGTTTGTAATATCTAATATATGTAAACTGAATGTGTGGAAGGTAAAAACAGTCTACTGACTGTAGTGTCACTAGGTTCTTACCTTGTGAAGAAAAGAATCAAGTGCGCAATTTACCGAAATGCTATTTTCTGGTAGGACCTCAGTATCTCCCCAAGCTTAAGTGCTGGTACTGCCAAGCCTTAGAAACTGCACCAGGCTTTTGAGACCTACTCTTGCCTCCCAAGAGATAGACCAACTGAGATAGAGATAGACAGACAGAGAGAGAGAACCAGACCAACACACTCAACAACGCAATTGGAGCTTGGCAATCACAGATCAACCCAAACCTTAGGGAAAACCCATTAGAAAGGACAGACACAACAAAATAAGTAACTGAGGTAAACAAGGTAAATGATCATTGATTTGGAGTAAATACCCTTAGTGTGATGCACATCCCACCATACAGGAACCCAGGTCGCTTAACACCCGATTTCTGGAAGGAGCCCCTCAATAACTCCTGAACATACAACAGCACTTCAACAGAGGAAGTTGAATATATCGAGCAGAAAAGGTGGACAAAGCTGACCTGTGGGGAAAAGACAGCAGAAGACAAGGGCACATAGAGGGGCATTACCAGAACACAAAATACTGAAGTGCAACACTAGTGTAGCAAGGCTGCTGGACACCAAAGGCAGAGTGAAAGGTCAACATCCTGGTGGGCCACCTAAAGGCCTCAAGCCCAAGATGTAGACAAAAATGCAAAAGAAAGCTATCAATGAAGTAGAGATACACAGCAAGGAAGCAAGGACAGACTGTCAATTGGCAAAACCAAACCTTAAACAGGATGAAAACAAATCACCCAAAACTAGAGCCAAGCTGCCAGCCCCAATCCTAGTGTAAAAAGTGGCTCGGAAAAGAAAGGCATTTTCCCAAAGGAACAGAACCTCAACATAGAAGGCAGAGATACCAAACTCCTTAATGACAAAACTAGGTAAAAAGGAGTGACCAGAATCCCAAAAATGATGCCAAATACCTACTTGATGAAAGATCCAAGAGTGTGTACTTGAAACACAGGGCCCATAGCCCGAGGAACTGGCTACCAGACCTAAGGATCACAAATGACTGAAATGACCACACAGAATTGAGACCCAGAAGCAGAGAACCAACGAGCCACAAAATAAAAATGAAAAAAATGGAAAACTGTTCTGACAATTAAGGCTGCCAAGTAAACGGTATGCAATCAAACTGACCTAGGGCATGTAACCCATAAAACCTAAAGCCTGAAGGCCCAAGGGCAGAAAACCCTGAAAACCAGAGCAAGCCTCCTGAAATACCACAAAAAGCTTGGGGACAAGACACACAGGATAGTGTAACATCAAGTTCACAGCCCACAAGAAATGTTTCCACCACACCCAGGTAAGTGAACTATGAAGGCACTGAGCAGGGAAAGCCAAGGGGTCAGAGTAAAGTGACTGATGCCAGGGCAAAAATCATCTCACTAGGCAACCAGCCAGTAAAAGATGAAAATATCACCCAGAAAACCCATAGCCCTGCTGCCCAGTAACCCCAGGATCTGCAGCTGGGAAATTCCCAAACTTGCACCCAGGGAACCCCCAGACTCGCAGCTCAGTAACTATTGGGTATGCAGTCTAAAAACTTCCATACCTAAGGACAGATGAGGTGGCAGCACCAGAATGTAGAGACAAACAAAACAAAGCAAACCTCCCAGGAGAAATAACCCTCTGGCTAACACAAACTAAGGCTACAAAGACGGACCTCCTCAAATGAACATACAAAGAATCCCTGAACTTCACCTTCACCAAAGACGAGGTAAGCTCAAAGGCCACTACCAACTTCCCAAAGGTAACAGCCCCTGCTGCTGCCACCACCAGCACACCCATTGCTGAAACCCAGAGATGCACTAGCTGAAGCCCCATTAGGCTGGAGAAAATATGTGAAGCTGGAGGAGAATGCTTTGTCCCAGCCTGAGCAGATCACCGAAGAGCAAGAACAGGGACCCCTTTGACAAATGGAACAATAACACCTAGAAAGTAAGGTAAGGACATACCCGGAAGCACAGCCCACCGGGCCACCTGGAATCTGAAAAGTACTGGGGACACCAAGAGAAAAGTGAAACAGAAAGCCGATGCCGCAAATGCAGAGGACAACAACTGGTTCCTCAAGAAATAGGATCACTGCAGCATCTGCAAGAGAAGAGGATAGCAGCAGCCACCATGGTGGAAAGAGAGTGGCCCTGCATCAATAAGTGGAAAGACAGAAACCTTGCATCAATGGAAAGAAAGATGGCAGAAAATAAAAATTAATGGGGATGTGAAAACCCGACTGAGAACATAAAGGAGACAAACACACAAGGAAGAGGAAAACCAGTCACTCAGACCACAACATAAACAGGCAGGCCTGCCAGGCACAAAGGAAGTGCCTCAACTAAGCAAAGACTGACCCCCAACTATGAACACTAAACTAGGGAAGACATACGCAGCCAATGATATGAACAATCACTTATGTGACCTAAGTGCACCCTTGACAAGTGTTAAACTCCAACAGGCACAAGGAGGATATCCCAGTATAACTGCAATGCAAATATAAATAGCTTACTACTAGACATCTTATCAACAATCCTTGCAGTGGATAGCAAGTCACTCCAGGTGAGTCACCTCACCTGGAGTGAGGCGATTCAAGGTGAGTTAACTAGAAGAGAAGGAACCCAAACCCATCAGAGCTGGTATCTCTTGTGGGGGCAAGGAAAATGCAAGCTGATTACAAAGGAAGGTAACCCTGGCCACAGTCTGAATGAAATACAAAGCTAGGAAGGACATACACAATGTTGGTACAGTAGCATAAAACATGAAGGAGAAAGGAAACAATAAGAAATCAATAGCCTCTAACAAAACCACTGTTCCAGGGTTAACCAACATCAATTAGCTTAAAAGTGTACAGTAAAGCAGAGCATGGGCCACTGTCAAAAACATACTTTCTGTACAGTGACCAGGCGAGGAGGCAGGCAGCCTGGGCCATAATCTGGTGGCAATCATGTGCATTATAGTAAGGCAATGATAATCATATATGGACCTGCAAGCTGTTCCAAGCAACAGTCTTTTGGACCAAGCTCTCACACGTCGAGCCTGGCCCCGGGCCGGACTGGGCTTGGGGAGTTGAACAACTCCCAGAACCCCATCCAGGTACAATGACCTGTGAATTTCAGGGTCGCTTATTTAAAAAAAAAATTTGCTTGTTTTCAGGGCCCCTATTCTTTCTAGTAGGGTTTCCTCATTTATGGGTTCATTATTAATTCCCAATAGCCGTCGCATCACAGAAAGATCCATTTTCTAGTCCTGGCCCTAAGTAAACCAGGATAAATCACAGGCTTGTGTAATTTCCAAGACATGCCAATACCAGTGTTTAGCTTCCAAAAGCTACTGATCATCTCCCAGAAAAATTGCCTAAAGCAAAAAAGTAAAGAAATAAGGAAGATCAAAAAGCCCAGTTCTCCTGGCAGCCTCTGAAAAATAAACAATATGCCTGCAATGAAGACTTGTGTGCTCTCAACAATGCTCAGTGAATACTTATTAGTAAAGTGACATGACTAGAGATCACTACAACATGAGATGTTTAGGTACCCTGTAGCTCTGGCAATACCCAGAAAACAAAACATTTCAAATAAGATGATTATTCAGATTTCTTTTTATTAAGGGTTTTGTAAATATCGTAGATACTTCCTCAATGAAACCTATTTTACTAAGTGTTCAAAACATATAACAAAATAGTTCTAGCATTTTATGTGGTGGAAAAAAATAAATAAAAAATATTCTAACCTCATACATGTAATGCCTTAAACTAAATTGTGTAAACTTGTATATATGTAATAACAGAAATAATGTTTTATATATACATATATATATATATATATATATATATATATATATATATATATATATATATATATATATATATATATATATATATATATATATATATATATATATATATATATATATATATATATATATATATATATATATATATATATATATATATATATATATATATATATATATATATATAATATATATATATATATATATATATATATATATATATATATATATATATATATATATACATATATATATATATATATATATATATATATATATATATATATATATATATATATATATATATATATATATATATATATATATATATATATATATATATATATATATATATATATATATATATATATATATATATATATATATATATATATATATATATATATATATATATATACAGTATATATATATTAATTATAAATTATTAGTAAAAGTTAACAATTGTGCTTTTACAAGGACTATACTGTAAATCACTTTTGAGAATCAACTTTCAACACTGGCCTTTAGGGTTAGTATTAATACATTAGCATACTGTATTGAATGGAAATGACAACAATGTTCATTCATAACATTAACATCATGACCTGTATATAAGTTAAGTTATTCTCCATTCAGCAGTAGACCTAAAACACAACATCTCCAACTCATGCATTGAGACATTACACTAAATATCTATCACGCTGTCCATAATTTCCAAGATCTTAGTTACCAATTCCATTCCAAATGCTCTTCGCAAAACTATTCTGATTTTAAAATTTTATCCAAAACGTATTTAAATATTACATGTATTTTAGAATAAAAACAAATTTCTTTAGTATCAATTATAAGACAGAGCATGATAGAGGAGACATGCACAATATGTCTCAGCATGCTGCCTGTACAGAATGGGAGCAAGGTGCTATCCTTCAACACAAGTTAATGCTGTAGTCAGTCTAAGCATCATGAGAACAACTGTCTTGAAATTGGACAAAACATGAGAAATGTACTGGATTTCTTGTAAATAAAATAGCAATGACAATCGTGCAACCTGCCAACATCAATCTAGCACACTAGCACCTTTCCTAATCCTATAAATCATCCATAATCTCATTGGGGTCTCCTACAGTTTCTTCTACTAAAGTTTCACGATATGTTCCCAAATGTCGAGCATTGGGATCCACTCCACGAAGAACTGATAAAATTGTATTTACAGATTTTCGAGTTTTGATGTTGATACGGTGGTTTTCAGGCTCAAATTCTACATAGCCCATTCCCTTGCGTCTTAAACGTTTGAGAAGGCGACGTTTCTGCTCCATTGGAAAAACCATTTCAAACTGATGGAGCTGAAAAAAGTAATACAGGTACAGAAACAAGGTTCTTCCAGAAAAATAAATGTATGCTTTAGAATTATTTATCTTTGGAATTAAAGTAGCGACTTAATTTTCAAGAATTCCCTTGGTGATCTGTATGAAAAACTCGGACGTTATGTTATATGAAAAGCACTTTTCTGAACACCCCATTTCAACTGCTTCTCAAGATAATACCTGGATATGCCCATAGAACTGGGCCATGTAGTCAGGCAGGGCAATATAGTGGCACTATTCCCACATGCAACTTATCAAAATGTCCCTGAAGGGTCATTACAAATACATATAAGCTGCTAAAATACATATATTTCAGCAAATTGTGGTGTTAAGAAGTCAATGGAGATCATTGATTTATACTAATATTACACTATCTTGTGATTCTCTGCATTAATGTTTCATGGTGATGCTTGTTGCTGAAGAGAATAACATTTCATATGTTTGGTGAATGGTTTGTTTGGGGTGTATAAATACCCCAGAGTATTATTATAGAGTTAAAGCCACAGAAAGGTACCAAGGGGCCAGCCAAGAAAATAAACCAATTTCTGGGGGAGCTGCCCCTATGGCTCCCTGAAGCTATCTTCCATACTAGAAGTCACAACAGTTGCAAAAAAAAAATTTGTTAGGCCTATTAGGGACCAGAGCCAGAACCTGGGCCCCAAACATAGGTGCAGGGAGCAAGTGACAAATTCCCACCTTAACTGAACACCTAGCCAGAAAGTCAGCAAAGTTTTAGACAACTGCAGGGCTCACAGAAAACAACGCCTTGAAACCACCAATGTAAATGATTTGCATAAAACATGGGAGTTACTCAAACTATCTCAAAACACATTAGTACTGATCACCACCAGGCAGCCTGTCCCTAGCTTGCAGCTGGCTCCCTTGATTAGTTGGTTCTGTTGCTGATGTTATGGTGGACATTTCTACCTGTAGTGCTCTGGTCTACCAGTTGTGGGCAAGCCCCTCACCTTCAAGCTATGTGTTGGCCATCTTTGTTTCTTCTGCAAGAGGCCATTTCCCTGTGTTAGACACCCTTTATCTTAGTATTAGCTTCACATGCATGTTTTGCTTCTGGCATCACGTGTGGGTTTAGCTCGGATTGTGCTTCAAGCTACATCCATTCAGGGCTTTTTCCCTGGATGTTCGCTAGTGCTACCCTTGCACAGTCAGAGTTATCTTTATTGGTGTGTTTAGGAGTTTGCCCCCTCGAGAAACCAGGATGGAGAGCCTCGCCTTGGGCTAACTACAAGTCTGTGACTCCACTGTTTGGGCTTTTGCCTTAGGGTGTTATTTTCGTTGTGCTGGGGGTACTGAGTTTGCATGCTAGTTTATATGGTACACCATGGTTGCCTTTCATACCCTGGTTGCTTTGGCTGCATTTGGTGACTGTTCATCCTGGGGTTTCTGCTTGGTTCTACCTTTAGCTACCTTCTTGAAACACCTGGTAATCCCCTTGCATGCCTATGGCATGGTTCATTATGGATCGGCCCATCAAGCCCACCCTCACCAAGTGCAAGCTTGAAGGGAGTTCACTGTCTTTGCTACTTGACAACGATCATTCTTTCTGCCTCAGACATGCTGACTGCTGAGTCGGTGACACCTACAACCCAGAGTTCTATGACATTTGTTCTCACTGGGTGTCTTACCTTACTGGTTCAGCTTTAAGTTAGGAAGCTTTTCTGGCAGCCGCCACTTTGCGAGCTGAGCTTGCTCGGGTAAGGTGTTTGCAGTACCCTGTACTGCCTAGCTAGTTCAACAACACGAGTATCATTTTCATGCTTCCGAATGATCTCTTGTTTTTCCTGTTGTCATCCTCACATGCAATTTCTTGCCTTGAACCTTACCACTGGCTTGTTCATCTGGATTTCCCAGAGTTGGTCTCAACAGTGTTAAGCACTCTTACTGCACCCCTATCAAATATGACAAGTCTTCTGTGAGCAAGAAAAAATCATCGTTAAATGTAATGAAACCCCATTTTCTGTGTGAGCCCCGGAGGCTCCCCGAGCTTACTGGGCTGATATGTATGCATTAAACTGTGGCATCTGTCGATAGGAGTTCTTTTGCCTACTGGGGGCCACGAGCCAGAACCTGACCCCCCTCAGAGAGGCTAGGGAAGCAGTGGCCTATGGAAACCCCCATTTATTTGGAAGCATTCCGTATCTGCCTTCGACCGGGGCTGGCACCCAGAAAGGTAGGCATCACAAAACAAACCCCACATGATAAAAATAAATATTATTGCTACCCTAAGACTGAACAGAGAAAAGAACTGCCCAATTCTAAAACAAGCAAACGTCACACCCTGCTGTCACGTCACTCATCTGCGCTTCCACCCTCTCCCCAGGAGAGGGAATGGGAGATCTAGAACTCCTGCACCGGCTGCTCCACCATTCAGTTCAGAGGCTGAGCATAAAAACCATGCGAAAAAAAACACCGACCAGAGGGAGAGAGGGTGCCATGGAGCCCCCAGAACTCCCCCAGAAAATGGCATTTAATTACAATTAACACTGGTTTTCTGTGCGGAGCCCCTACGGCTTCCCAGAGGTACCTAGCTAAAGAAAAACGAAAAAAGGGACTTACCCGAGAGGGTAAATAACCCCGCGGATGACCAGAGAGACCTGGTCCGGCAAACAGGGAAGAAGAAAAACCAAACCAACCCAAAGCGCGTCCCCGGACACAGAAGCCAGTGGAAGACGGCAAAGCCACAAATGCAGAAAAGTAGAGGAGAGGCGAAGGAGGTGCCCCACACACATACGCGGGGAAAACCCTGTGTTCTCCCCATAGCAGCAATCCAAAACACCCCCAATAGCTATCAGGCACGGACTGGAGAAGTGAGAGGAGTGAGAGGCGAAGCACCCGAGAGAGAAGGACGCAGAACACCAGCACACTGCCCATATCAAAACAAACTATCACGGCCCATGCGCAGCCAAAGGGATGCCAGATTTAGTTTGCTAGAATTCGCGAGGTGAAGAAACAAAAATCACGAATGTGACCATAAAACCAGACAAAATACTGTTGGTAACGATTAATTCCCTTTGCAGAATATACAGGTCACCTGTGAACAGCAGGCAAAAAGAGTAGTAGTAGCAAAACATACATAGCATAGCTCTTCATGCGGGCTACAAGTAGCCCAATCAGGCTACAAGGAGCCCAATCTGGCAACCCTGCAGTGCAGGACAGGAGGTCCGAACTGCCCAACCTGCTCAGCGGGAAGGCGCCAACAAGGAATATGGAAAGAAACTGTCTCAGCAGTGCTGAGACAGACCACGGAGAGAAGATACAATCACGAAAGAACAAAACAGGACCGAAACCCGAGAAGAAGCACAAAGGAGGACCAACAAGCCCTTGAAAGGACTGGAGGGAAGCCACACTGGAAGACGACATACGTTCCAATAATATGGGAAAAAGCAAAAACCTTCCCGAACCTTCAAGACACTATAGAAGCAAGCGTAAAGAACGAAGGCACAGAAAGGCACAGACACACCCGAGACCAAAAGTCATGCAGAACCCCGAGAAGAGGGGAACAAGACGGCTAAGGTCCATCCCGAGAAGGGCAGAGAAATGGAGAAAAATACACACCGACAGGACAGTGGGTAACAACCTGAGGAGGGGCAGATGCCCAATATCTCATATGGAGAGAGGGGAAGAAAAAACTCCACTCCTCATAACTGCAAGCCCTGCCCAGAGGGTAGAAAAACCCCGGCGGGGTCCAACGGGGCCCGAGGCCCCCCAAGTCCGCTTCTCACCAGTCCCGGGAATGCACACAGCAGGCCCCCGGGGCCGAGCCGTCCCCCCAAAGCCCCAACTTCGCAAGAAAAAGCCGGGGCAGTCGGAAAAGTACTAAGGCAGGGAGCCCACTGGCAGACTCATACAACACAGCTGGAGGAACAGGCTTGAATGCTTCTGTCACTACCTTGGAAGGGGAAATCCCCGAGACCGCCCGAGTCTCAAGCCAATCGAAACCCTGCCCCGACCCCGAACCCACAAACGGTAAGGATCCAGATGTAGGGAGGAATGGGAGCACCAGACTAGACCACAACAAGGGAAAGACAAGGGGGGCGTGGGAGGAAACAAAACCAAAGCGACCGACACCCCCAAGCCCCGTCACACCAATAAAAAATGGGGCAGCCTCGGGGCTTCCGGAAGCAAACAACCTAGTGTATTGCCACCACCGGAACTCAACATGCAACGCATGCCTGCACCCGCATAGTCAGCAGAAGACTAAGTAAACGAGCCACAGACAAGCAACAAAACTCGCAGGACTCCGGGTCAAAGGTGCCACCGACCCCACAGGCAGCAGACGGAGGCAAAAACAGTGAGTCACCCTGAGACAAGGGGACAAAGCAAACCTCGAACTTGCACATAGTGAGGGGGGACTCTGGGGTTACATCCATCGGACCCACATGTCCCCATGGGAATTCCCAGGGTCCTGAGACAAAAATCACACTCGGGGAACCCCAGGCAGGGTACTGCTAACCGGTGCCCAAGTCTACCAAATAACTTTCTAAGAACTGAACCCCTGGGATGTGTACACTCACAGGGACCTAGCAAGAGTAATCACTGGAAGAAGGAAGAGTACTCAGTACACAGGGGGGCAAGAACCAAGGCAGAACCCCCCACCAGGCAGACAAACAAAAAGAAAAAGAAAACCCCGCAAGAGGACAACGTACCCAGGCGGAACAGAGCCGGCCGCTATGATTGGTGAAAACAAGCTGCGCAGTACCCTGCGCCCCTACCAGTGCAAACTGCCCCCTACCCTAAAGTGAACAAGGGAGACAGAACACCCTAGCACACAAAGGGCAGCCGAAAACCAAGCAGTAAACAGCCTAGCAGAGGCAGAACCCAAGGAACTTGTGGAAGGGGGGCCACCTTCTTACTTACAGGGCACCTAGGGAAGGAAATCCTAGGTGCATGCAACCCGAGTACTGGAGAATCGCTCCTGGCTCACGCACCACCTAGAATACAGTCACCACACACTAGGTACAGTGCTGAAACAACCAACGGAGCCAGAGCACACGACCTCAGAGAAGGTGGTGGAGGCCAAGACCGTCAGTAGTTTCAAAGCGTTATATGACAGAGTGCTGGGAAGACGGGACACCACGAGCGTAGCTCTCATCCTGTAACTACACTTAGGTAATTACACTCTCAAATACTTTTATTATGTGGGACGTTAGTGCAACTGGTCTATAATTCCTTGCCAATGCTTTGTTCCCTCCCTTGTGTAGAGGGGCTATGTCTGCTGCTTTCAGTGCATCTGGTATCTCCTGTGTCCAAGCTCTTCCTCCACACTATACTGAGTGCCTGTGCTACTGGCACTTTGCATTTCTTTATGAATATTGAATTCCTTGAGTCTGGACCTGGGGCTGAGTGCACGGGCATATTATCAATTTCTCTTTCAAAATCTGTTATGCTCGTGTTGATATCAGCTATATTTACAGGCATTTGGATATCACGCATTAAGAAGTTGTCCGGATCTTCTGCTTTCATGCTGAGTATCGGAGTGCTAAACTTGTCCTCATATTGCTTTTTCAGGATTTTACTAATTTCTTTGTCATCCTCAGTGTATGAACCTTCACTAATACGAATAGGTCCAATACTGGCAGTGGTTTTTGCTTTTGATTTAGCACATGTGAAAATATTTTGGGTTTTTCTTTATTTCTTGAATTGCTTTCTGTTCCAGTTGCCTTTCTTCAGTCTGATATAAATGCTTCAGTCTCTGTTCGATTTCTTCGATCTCCCTGTTTAAATTATTCCTTCTTTGTATGGAAAGTCGTGTCTGCTTAAGCATTTCCATTAATTTCTTCCTTCTTTTGTAGTGTCGTCTGCGTTCTCTTTCTACATTGGACCTCTTTCTAGCTTTCCTAAAAGGAACATGTTTCAGAAGTCAGTTTTTCTATTCCTTTGTGTAGGATTTTTATTTCTTAGAACATTTTCTCATTGAATGTTTGTAAGTTCCCTGTTTATTTTCTCCCAGTCTATTCTTTTACTATTAAAATTGAATTTATTGAATAACCCTTCTCACATGTTGTTTCTCTTGGGCCTACTATCGGTATTAATGTTAGTTTGCACTTCAATGAGCTTGTGGTCCGAGTATGTAGTGTCTGAGACCGTAATGTGTCTGATTAGCTCATCACTGTTCATGACTATCAGGTCCAGCGTGTTTTTGTTCCTAGTTGGTTCTGTAATCTGCTGACTGAGCGAGAATTTGTCACAGAATTTAAGTAGTTCTCTGACCTGTGGTTGGTTATTTCCAGGTTGATTTCCTGCTATAATATTATTGTTTACTATTCTCCATTTTAAACTGGGTAGATTGAAGTCTCCAAGGAAGATCATATCTAGTACTGGGTTTGCTAAATTATCAAGGATATTCTCTATTTTGTGGATAGAATAGAATATTCTCTACTTATCTTAAAGCTATTGTTTTCCCCTAAGTTATGGATATGTTTTACTTCCTATTAAGACCCTGTAGGGGAAAATAAATCTCATGCACTGCTCAAAAGCAAGGTGACTCAAAAGAAGTCAACTTATGGAGCAGAAAGCCCTTAACCCTCAGGGTCACCGTTGAAGCAAAGTGGAATGCCACAGCACACACAATGTGGGCAGAATAAACATAACCATAAAGCATATACAATTCATAAATCATTGGTCCCCAGTGGAATATATTATTACAGTGTTCCAGGGAAAGCAAACAACACTTAGCTGAAATCCAGATGCTGAGGAATCAGCAGAAACTACAGATTTTAGATGTCTACATCAGGCAGAAGAGTGAGGGACAGGCCAGCTGAGACCTTAGGTAACTTGGGCTGCCATCTGGCAATCAAGCACATCATCGTCACGGTATTTATCCTGTGGCAACAATGATTCAACTAATTATTTATGTCAAGTAATTGCTTGTTTTGCTGTGCCTATGGTTTCTGAAGGGTTTCACCCAGTTTTGCTGTGCCTATGGTTTCTGAAGGGTTTCACACAGTTTTGCTGTGCCTATGGTTTCTGAAGGGTTTCGCCCAGTTTTGCTGTGCCTATGGTTTCTGATGGGTTTCACCCAGTTTTGCTGTGCCTATGGTTTCTGAAGGGTTTCACCCAGTTTTGCTGTGCCTATGGTTTCTGAAGGGTTTCACCCAGTTTTGCTGTGCCTATGGTTTCTGAAGGGTTCTGCCCAGTTTTGCTGTGCCTATGGTTTCTGAAGGGTTTCACCCAGTTTTGCTGTGCCTATGGTTTCTGAAGGGTTTCACACAGTTTTGCTGTGCCTATGGTTTCTGAAGGGTTTCGCCCAGTTTTGCTGTGCCTATGGTTTCTGATGGGTTTCACCCAGTTTTGCTGTGCCTATGGTTTCTGAAGGGTTTCACCCAGTTTTGCTGTGCCTATGGTTTCTGAAGGGTTTCACCCAGTTTTGCTGTGCCTATGGTTTCTGAAGGGTTTCACCCAGTTTTGCTGTGCCTATGGTTTCTGAAGGGTTCTGCCCAGTTTTGCTGTGTCTATGGTTTCTGAAGGGTTTCACCCAGTTTTGCTGTGCCTATGGTTTCTGAAGGGTTTCACGCAGTTTTGCTGTGCCTATGGTTTCTGAAGGGTTTCACCCAGTTTTGCTGTGCCTATGGTTTCTGAAAGGTTTCACCCTGTTTTGTGGTTCATTTCTGGTTCCCTGCTTTCCTAGACCCAGATTCTGATCCTGGCTCATAGTCGGTTACATAAGTCTCAGAGGCCTGGTGTGTTGGGCTAACGCTTGGTGCTGCCAGAATTAAGCTCTGAGAGCCATTGAGGGGTCCCTCCCAGAAAAATATATTCTTCTGCATAGTAATAAAAATACAAAATAAGTACAAATGGCTGGTACCTACCCTACAGGGTGCTAACCGTTGTTGTCTTGTTAAACATGACCGGTGATTATGTGCGAAAGTTTGACCTGCCGAGATAAGGAAGCCTTGATCCTCGGTCTGGTAGCCAGTGGCAGCATTGGCATTTGGGAGAGTAGTTGTATCAACAGCTTGATTAACACCACTGCCTTCGCACCATTCTTGATTCACCAAACCACTTTCTGCAAGAACCTATTACAACATGGCGGTTTCACTGGCTAAGCAAAAAAAAGTATCACATTAAATATATTATTTATGATAACATATTACCAATTCAAGTTATCTTTATGAAACTCTTATTTAACCCTTAAAGGGCACAAATCATACATGTATGGCCTAAGAGTTAGGTTTCTCAAACTTTCCCATATGCTTTCAAAGTTTTTGTACATAATCTACTAGCAAATACTCCAACTTTGTCTAAATGATCACCAATGTAACTTGAAAACAAGAAAATCAAAAATAATTTTAAAATTAAAAATTGAAACTTCAGATTTTCAAATCAGATTAAAAATTATAAAATATCACTGTTAAGGACTCGTCACCCTTGTCAGGGGGTAGAGTGGCAGTTCCGGCGCCATCTACAAGTCCGCACCCGAACTCCCCGGGAATCGTACGTAATATGGACACTGCCATCTGGTGGTGGCTATCTAAAACTTGCAAATGGTTAAAGATTCCTGCCTTGGTCAGCCAGAGGGGTCGTTGTGAGTGACCTCTGGCGAGGTGACGTATCAAGACGTACAGAGCACAATGTCAACTCCCTAGTGGGTTAGTGGTATTTCCTAGTTTCGCCAGTACCGGCTAGGTCATTGATGACGTTTTGTGTCCACAGAGGTGACATCTGGGGGCAGCGGTACTGGAGACGGCAGTTCATCTTAGGCAGTCCACAGTCTCCCTACAGGGTCATGGAAACTACCAAATAAGCCGCCGCCGATGAAGCAGTGTGGTAGATGCAAGTGCTTAAGTGTTGAAAAGGATCAGCGTACCTTTGGGGCCGGCTTAGGGGAGAGACTGACGACAGGGAGGTGCCTGTTGAGTAGTGCTGCTAGCTGGTCGTTAGAGACTGCTGCCAGGGGATCGCCCCTATATTGGTTTGTGACCCCGCTCAGTGTGTGGCTGAGGTACTCTGCCAGCAAGTAGCTGGAGAGGGGTCGTTAGGGTACAGGCACCTCATGACACTGTCAGTGGGCTGGCCCACGTATAGGTGAACTCGCCGGTGTTCTTCCCAGTAAGGTTAGATACGCTACTGGGCAGTAAAGAAATACTGGGGATTGATAAACTCTGCATGTGAACACGTTTGATATCCAGAGCGAAAGGATTGTACATAGGTGTAGTAATAGCCTATCGTTTCTTTATATATTTATGGTGATGGTGTACATATATATATTTAACGGTGGTGGAAAGATATTAAATACATTGACGAAAGAAACAGTGTTTTGTTCATCCCCTCCTCTTTTTTATGCACTACACAGCCACTTTCTTGAAAGCGTACTACCGACTTGGGATCGGATACTATAAGTTTGGTTTTACCATCAAAGAACCCGGTTGAGACTCATAGTGGCCATAACAATCACCAATTGCTCATTTAGTTTTATTATGCTCTCAGAATATCATATGATCTTCATTTTCATCAAAATTAGAATACAGGTTTTCAGTACAGTTTACTGTAAAACAAAAAAAAAAAGTCAATATGGCATTTGAAGTATGTGGAAAATTTAGAAAAAAAACCAGCGTTGAATGTAATGAAACACCATTTTCTGGGTGAGACCCGGAGGCTCCCCGGAGCTATCTAGGCAGATATGTACAGCATACTATCAATAGACTTTGGCATCAGTGTGAATGGAGTTCTAGGCCTACCGGGGACACCAAGCCAGAACCTGGCACATTCAGAGAGGCAAGAGGAGCAATGGTCTATAGAAACGCACATGGGATCTGGTTAATACCTGGTTGATGGGTTTTGGGAGTTCTTCTACTCCCCAAGTCCAGCCCGAGGCCAGGCTTGACTTGTGAGAGTTTGGTCCACCAGGCTGTTGCTTGGAGCGGCCCGCAGGCCCACATACCCACCACAGCCCGGTTGGTCCGGAACGTCTTTTAAAAAACAGTCTAGTTTTCTCTTGAAGATGTCCATGGTTGTTCCGGCAATACTTCTGATGGTCGCTGGGAGGACGTTGAACAACAGCGGACCTCTGATGTTTATACAGTGTTCTCTGATTGTGCCTATGGCACCTCTGCTCTTCACTGGTTCTATTCTGCATTTTCTTCCATATCGTTCACTCCAGTACGTTGTTATTTTACTGTATAGATTAGGGACCTGGCCTTCCAATATTTTCCATGTGTATATTATTTGGTATTTCTCTCGTCTCCTTTCTAGTGAGTACATTTGGAAAGCTTTGAGACGATCCCAATAATTTAGGTGCTTTATCGCGTCTATGCGTGCCGTATATGTTCTCTGTATTCCCTCAGTTTCAGCAATCTCTCCTGCTCTGAAGGGGAAAGTGAGTACTGAGCAGTACTCGAGATAGGACAACACCAGTGACTTGAAGAGTACAACCAACGTGGTAGGACCTGGACCTATGTCTGCCAGCGACCAAGCCAGGCACCCAGAAAGGTAAGTGCCTCAAAACAAACCCCTAGTCTGGTTAAAATGACGAAAATAGATTAACGATAAGACAGAACTTCCCAATTGAAAACGAGCAAGACGTCACATGTGCCGCGCCGCATGTCTGCACACCTTTTGCCAAGGGCAAAAGAGGGACAACCCCAAGAGGAGGAAACCACACGCCCGAACCCAAAAGCAAGAAAATTGGCAACACCAAATAACCCCTTGAACGACCTGGGAGACCTGAACCCTAGAACAGGGACGAAGGGAACTCGGGTCAACCCAATGCACTTCCAGGACCACAGAGGCTGCGATACTTAGGTAATTACACAGGCAACGGCTGAGAGCCACACCCGGACACAAGAAGATGCACCCCCAGCCAACCAAACAAGCATCAACAACCCCAGGGATCCCTCCGAAAAACAGCCGTTCCAACCTCGCCAGAAAAAAAAAGAGACGGCCACAAACAAACAAACCAATCACCAGAACCCAAAGGAGCAAAAACCAAGAAACAAACCTGAACCGAAGGGACCACAACAAACCAAGGGGAAGAGAGAAAAATGCAAAATGGTGCAGAAGGCACATCAAAACCGAAAGCAGTTCGGAGAGGCTCCGCAGTACCGCACAAGACAAGGGGACAGTATGCGGCAAGATGACGGTCCTGAACCACCACGAGAGAAGGACAAGACCATTGAAACAAAAAGTGCAATATACCCACAAAGAGACAAAAAGAAAAGGAAGGACTGCCAGGAAACCCCATACCATTGCCGAGACGAAGCACTTAAGTGGGGACACCATCAACGAAGCCACCTGATCACCAAACATTGTGATCGACTCGAGTCAAAATGACCAGACGCTAAGGCTCGAGGAGAAGACCGAACGAGCCCCGTAATGGACCGGACCAAGCATCTGAAAGAGGCGGAACCGTGGGGAAACCCCTGGGTGCGGACACCGAGCAGGCAGCGCCGGAAACCAAGGCTGTCGAGGAATCAGATGCAACGTCCACCAAGGCACCAGGAACCCGAACCCGATGAGCCGGGAAATAACCAACTCAGGCGAGAAGCCCCGTTCGGAAGGAACCCTCCCCAGACCCCCAAAGAACCAACAAGTTCGAAAACGGACGACAATGAGAAGAAGCTGCTTGCAGAAACTGCCCAACCACAGACTCCGCACAAAAATAAGAACAAAATGTCAACGAAAACCTAAAAGCAAGAGCCCAGGCGGCGTCCAACAAGAAAGCAAACACCACCAGCCAACACGTGAGATGTGAAGTGAAAACAGGGACACCGCATCCCGCAGGATCGGGGGTAACCAGCTCCAGCAGGACAGAATGACACAAGCGCCGCCGAGTAATGCATGAGGAGAACTACTTAGGACGCGTACTGCCCTAAATGAAAAAGTCCATATGGAAAAGGAACAATTAAAAGTTCGTAGCCAGGGCCAGCTCAGGGCCAGAGGCCAGAGCTCCCAGCTCCTCCCGTCCCAACGAAAATTAACCGTAGGGGGCAGGAGTGGTTGACTGGAAATCTATATCCACATATACCCTGCTGGAGGAGGCAGGGAGTCACACTGCAGCAAGCTCCTTTTAACATCAAATTACCTTAGTATTGGGAGCAGGTTGAGGGCTACCGTGGTGTCCCAGGTTACATAAAGGTTCAGGGAAGTGTAATAGCAAATAAAATAAACAAAGATGGCTGCTGCCACCACCACTGGGAATGTAGACACACCAACAGATGCTTGTTTCAAAGGATTCTCACCACAAGATATAAGAACAGGAGGTGTTCTTGGCAGGTTAGAGATAATTGAGGATATGCAAAAGAAGTATGAAGAAAAAGTGCTTAAATTGGAAGAGGACAATGGAGCTCTTAGGAGTGAGCTTTGCACTCTAAAAGGAAGTATTCTCAAGCAAGGTAAGATTATTACTGCATTAATGGACAAGGTAACAAATCAGGAGGAACAAATCAAGGAACTAGTGAAAGAGAATGAGGTGTGGGAAAGTGAAGTGTGATGACTTTGAAGAAATAAACAAGAAAATAGACTCATTTGGTGAACAACTCCAAGGGAGCCTGAGAGCTAACATAGAGTTAGGCAAGGACCTCCAACTGGAAACTTCACTGACAACTCACAAAGAGGAGGTTAATAAAGAACTAGAAAAGTATAAAGAAGAAATAAAAGAGACATATGCCCAAGTTGTAAAAGAGAAAGAGACAATCAAGGAAGTGTGTTTGGAAGTCAAAACCAGAAATGATAAACAAAAAGCGGATCTTAGGCAAGCAATTAGGAAAGAACTGGTAACCAATAGTAAACTGGTACAAAGCACTGTAGATAGAAGTAAGTCCATAATAATTTTTGGATGTTTAGAGGAGGAAATTCCATCTAGGGTGGATCGAGCAGCAAAAGAGATGAAAATCATAGAAAAAATAGTAGGATTAGGAGAAGGCCAAAATTCAAAGGAGCATGTCAGTGATTTTAGAAGGATAGGTAAATATGAGAAAGACAAGAACCGACCCTTAAGGGTGACGTTTAATGGAATGAAGTACAGTATATGACAGAAATGCTTCGCAATACAGTACCGGAAAATTGCAATGTGATAAGG